GAAAACTTTCTGATTTTCTTCTTTTTTTTTCACCTGATGTGCAAGTGTATTATTTTCCTTTGAGGTTACCCTGTAATTTGTTTATTTTTTCCCTACTTAAACCAGTCTGTTTTATCTTGAAATCTGCTTGACTTCCTTGCCATTTGGAAGTCCTGTATCTACACGATTCCCTCTGTTTGCTTTGTAGTTGACTTTGTTATACATTGATATCTCTGGGTCCCTATTTTCAGTCTTGTAAGTTTATTTCACTTTCAATCCTTCTATATCTGGATTGAGTTCTGGGTGGTGTTGTCATGTATGGTAATCTCAAATTATTGTCTGCTGTTGTTGGCTTTCAGTCCAAAGAAGACCTTTTAGCACTTTTTGTAAAGTTGGTCTGGTAATTACAAATTCCTTTCATTTCTTTTTATCAGAAAATGTCCTAATTTTGCCATCATATTTGAGGGACAGCTTTGCTGGGTATATGATTCTTGGTTAGCAATTTTTTTCCTTTCAGAGTTTTATATATGCCAACCCATTGCCTTCTTGCCTGCATAATTTCTGCTGGAAAATCAGAGCTTAATCTTATTGGTTCTCCTTTGTAGGTAACTTTTCTTTTTCTCCCCCGAGGTGTTCCCAGGATTCTTTCCTTGTTTTTGATTTTGGAAAGTTTGATTGTGACATGTCTTGGTGATTTTCTTTGAGGATCTATCCTGTTTGGGATTTGTTCAGCTTCTTTATGCTTATCTTCTCATCTTTCATGATGTTAGGGACTTTTTCTTCCAACAACTCTTCAACAATTTTCTGTGGGCTTTTTATTATCTCTTCCTGTTCTGGAATTCTGATCACCCATAAGTTGCTCCTTCTTTATGGTGTCCCACATAACTCTTAGACTTTACTCGGATTTTTTTCATTCTTTTTTCTGATTGTTCTTCTAATTTACCAGTATTAAGAGATTTATCTTCAAGTTCGCAATTTGGCCTTCCATTGTACCTTTCAATGTATTGTCCATTTCTGAGATCTGAGTATTAATCTTCTGGATTTCTAATTGCAAGTTTATATTGTTGCAAAATTTGCATTTATTTTGTTTGTTCATTTTTCTGGATTCTTATAAAGTGTTTCCTGTGTTCTCCTTGCTTTCATCACTCTTTCTGTCAATCTTTTGAAGGTACCCTTTTTTCCTCAGAAATGTTTCCTGGCTCTGCATCTTGGTCATTGTTTGACATATCCTCTCTTATTTCTCTGTGTGAGTTAAAATTGTATGTTGTCTCTGGGGCATTGCAGGGTCATCGTATTTGTAAAAACTAATAATACAGTTGTTGTATCCGGAGAGGAGAAACCTCTGGGGGGGGGGCTCCTGAAATTCAAGGAGCTGACAAAGTGGTTGTGGAGAGGATGTGACAGCAGGGTTCCTGGCCCTAGATGGAGTTCCTATTCACCTTGATGTTATCTATGTTCAGAGGACTCAATCCAGAAGTAGTTTGTGGGGGCCCTTGATGAAGCTGGTTTCAGTATCTGTTAAAACCACAGGGAATCGGGGTGCTAGGTGACTTGTCAAATGCTGGTCTCCTGGTTCTGAAGATTTTGTACGTCTAGAGCCGAAACTGCCTGAATTTAGGCACCAAAGCAGCGTAGCCAACCCCCCAACTCACCCTGGCCGGACTCTGAACTACAGGAGAGCAGGATTTGCACTGGGGCTTGATGAGGATGGGAGCTGGCTACACTTTTGGTCACCGGGGAAGTGTGGGGAAAAAGAAGAAATGACATTTTTCCCCGTTGCCCACGAGAATCTTCTCTGTCAGATCTGCTTTGCCTGCCAAAGCTGCTCACAAGACAACGAAGCCATATCTGGCCAGCTGTTCACCAGTCAGCCTTCCTCTCTTACTGTCCCTGCTTGGCCTCCTAGTAAGAACTCCATCCACCTCTTTAACCTTTCTTCTGAAGTTAAGGGTGCAACTCCAGACAGATTTGTGCTTTCTTTCTCCAGTTCTCCTTGTTCTATCACAGGAATGCCCCTTACTCAGAAGCAAGCCAGGTGGATGTGGCCTTTGGCCAAGACACCATGCTTCAAGGGAAACCTTGCTTGTCATTCCCACTTCTGATGCCGACAACATAACCCTTCCCCTCATCACCCAGCGAGTCAGCAGCAATTTGCTTCTCATAAACGGTATGAAGTTTGGGTTCATTGTCTACTTCAGTGAATTTCTGGCAGCCAGTGGCTGGGAAAGGGATGTTCAGCTTCATGGTGAAACAGTCGAAGGTTTCCTGGGTGCCATGAAAAAGAGCGTGATTTGCAATGTCTTATCCTGAGGCCTGCTGCAGCGCTCTGGGTTAATGTGCCAGACTGCAAAGCCATATAAACCCCAACGTCGGCAGTTCAAGCTCACCAGCTGCTCCTTGGAAACCCTATATAGGGTTGTTGTACCAACTCGACAGCACTTAACAACAATAAAATCCTAGTTTATCTTCAGGGTTGCGGGACTTTTAGTTTTCAGTGCCCTGGGTCAAAAACATGCCCTTTCTATAGTTCCAATTTCTTCAACTTTCCACACCATGGAGGCGGACTATTCTCTTGCTTGGAGTTTCTGGTTTTCTAAGGTATCTTTATCTCACCTAAGGCACATATCCTTGCCACTTGATCAAGCTGGTAGATGATGTATTTTAGTATCCCTTTCAGGAATAAGCTAATACTCTGAGGCCTTAGGCTACACTCAAGAGGTTCACTTTTGGCCCCCCAAACTCTTACAGGTTAGAGGTCATGTCTTATGCCACTTACGGGTGTTAGGGTCCAAGCTCCAGAACCTCTATCCAGGTCTGGAAACCCCACCATGCCTATTCCCAATCAGCTTTGATTTCTTTTTTTTAATGTTTTATTGTGAATTATATGATCGTGTACATGAGAGAACTTTAGTTTTACATTCATTCCATCGTATATCATTTCATTGCCATGGTTCCAATCCCTTCCATGTTGATTTTTGACTGGTGCCTGGAATCATTCCATTCAGTCTTTTTTACATTTCTGCTTATAAGTAGTGATCCCTCTGGGCCCCTTTGCGGACATGGTCAATGCCTGGGGACTCCCTCCCTCCTAAGGGGCTGGAGGAAACCTAAGGGGCTGGGTGTTAGGGATTGAATTCTGCCCCCCAGAAATATGTACTGTAAATTCTAAGTGTTATACCTATGGTTGTAGTCCCATTTGGAAATGGGTTTTCTTGATCAATAAGGCTGTATTTGTGTACGGTGGGTCTAAAGTCAATCTCTTTTCTTTTTTTAGATATAATTAAAATTAAGCAAGCAAGCACAAATGGAGGGGAAGACACACACATCACCACAAAGAACAAACAGGAGCTGAAAAGAGACAAAGGCCTTCCCCTAGATCCAACAGAGAGATCAAATCGAAAGCCTTCCTCTAGAGGCCTTCCTCTAGAGTGGGTGCCCTGACTTTGAACTGTGAGAAAATAATTGTTTGGTTAAGCCACTCACTTGTGGTATTTCTATTATAACAACACTAAAGAATTGGAGAATGGTGGTGGGTGGCTGAGGGAGATATTCCTACAGGTGGCCTGGGTGGGAGGAAGTGGGAGGGGAGATACACAGCGACCTCACCAGCAGATGCTCAGGACCCATGAGGTCAGGGGTAGAAAAAGTTAGGGCGGCTGGTATTTTCCACCCCTAGGGGAACTGGGGGTGGGGGGAAAGGAAGGGGACTGGGTGAAGTGCCTTTCAGAGGCGCGTGGCACCAGACACTCATACTGGTAACAGGCATCTGGGACCACCTGGCCAACTGACTCCGCCTCCCGGAACCTCATTGGGCGGAGAGCATCATCACAAATTCTGCGGGACAGAGGGGCGGAGTTTAATTGAAGGGGCGGAGCTTGGCGTCTGGCTGGAGACTAAGAGGCGCTGAGCTCACGGGGCGGGAAGAGCTATCTGGAAGGAAGACTCACCGTCGAAGTCTATGGTGCCATCTCCATTCAGGTCCACCTCGCGGAGCATCTCGTCCAGCTCAGCAGCTGCCAACGGCTCCCCGAGTAGAGCGGGCACTGCCTGCTTCAGCTCCGCCACTGTGATCCGGTCGTCCCTGTCCCTGTCGAACTGTGATCCCCGCAGGCTTAGCGCCAACCCTCAGCGCCTGCCCAAAGGACTGTTTTATCCACTCCTGCCCACCCGAGTCCTCCCCATCTTTCCAGGCTGAGACGCGGTGCCCCTTCTCCAGGAAGCCTCACTGGATAGATCCCTTCCTCGACCCCTCCCTGCATGACTGTGAGGCCCTGGGGGCTTCAAGGCCCGGGAGTCCCCTGGCCTGAGTGAGAAACCAGTGAGTAAGGACGCTGTCCGCCCTCCCACCCTGCCTGCCCACGGCTCCACCTCTCGGAAGGCAATGCGAAGTTCCGGCAACCCCAACATGTGCGCAGTCTCGTCCAGCAGCTTCGGGCCCATCAAATCCACGAACTCCTCGAAGTCCACGCGGCCACCCACTGTGGGCCCAGGCAGAGTGACACAGTGGTGAGGGCTGGGGCCTACGAATGGAGTCACAAGGCCGGTGCCTCCCAGAAAACCTGAGCCCACAAGAGGCAGGGGATGGAACCTCAGTATCTGGCCTGCAGGGGAGCCAGGATTGCTTCTGCACTCAGGGTCGGGGAAAGACACCAGACTTTGAACCCCACTTCAGGGTTTGACTTTGAGTGACTTCCTAGACCTCCCTTCCAATAACTGGGATGTAAAGTGCTGGGCCCCGTTAAACCAGTTCCTTCCTGGCAATGAATACTGCTCCATGGGATTTTCAGTGACTGAGTTTTCAGACGTAAATGGCCAGACCTTTCTTCTGAGGTGCCTCTGAGTGAACTCGAAACCACAACCTCTCAATTAACAGCTGAGTACTTAACAATTTGTACCACCCAGGGATTCTTGGAGCCTGTTAAACCAAACCAAACCCAAACCCACTGTTCCCTTGTAAATTCCAACTCATAGTGACTCTAAGTACAGTGTAGATCTACTCCCTAGGGTTACCAAGGCTGTAAATCATTATGGGAGCAGATTGCCTCATATTTCTCCCACAGAGCAGCGCATGGGTTTGAACCTTAAGTGAGCAACCTTAACTCACTGTGTCACCAAAGCCCAGTAGGCTGTGAATGTCACTGAAAACTCCAGCATGTAGCCCCTTGTTCCAAGACGCCATTAACTGTAAAAATTTTGCAACAATGTCCACATCCCATCGATGGGGAAGAAAAGAAGCCTTCGCTGTACTATATTCTGAGGAGCCCTGGTGTTATAGTGGGGTTATGCACTGGGCTGCTATCCCCAAGATCAGCAGTTCAAATCCACCAGCTGGTACTTGGGAGGAAAAGAAGGTGTTCTGCTCCTATACAGATTTACAGCCTCAGAAACCCTACACAGGGTCGCCATGAGTTAGAACGAACTCCACAGCGCACATCAGTAGCATACTGTGTTTACATCAATTGTAAGCCACATCCAGTTTGGGGAACTTTTAAAAAGGAAACAAATGTAGTTCTGGGACACGGGGAGTGGATCTTTGTCTGGGGATTAATGATAGTCACACAAGTGCCTGTCAGGCATTTTGTCCAGGACAGCCAAGACCCCGTCTGCAACTACACCTCATCTCTATCACTAACCTGACCAGGGGCTCCTGGGGCCCCAAGATCACTCCCAAAGATAGAGCTCACCGCTCTTCAAGAACCACGTTTCCTCTTCCTAGTCAACCCCAATTCAGGCAGCTGACACCCAGGCATGAAGGGTGGGGACACACTACCCCATATATCCCCAGGGTCACAGAGGAGGTAGGAGAGAGAAAAAGGGCATGAGAGAGAAAGATGGGTGGCTGGTACCAGTGTGCTTTATCAAGGAGTAGTCCCGGGGAACAAAAGGAGAGGAAAGGTGAGCAGCAACCAGGCTGGAGCCCCTAGGTCCCTAGCAGATCACCTGGGCCCCTTACTGTACCAGGAGGTGGGAGCTTGGATGTTACCCTCTCATCCCCATCCTTGCAGGGTCCCAGAGCCAATGGGTCCTTGGAGGCCACACCCCTCACCCTCTGGCTGTCCCCTGAATTGAGAAGCACAGAGGCCACCAGGGCCCACACTGACTGCGCATCTTGACGTGCTGGGAGACCTCGATGAGCTCCATCTCCGTGGGCATGTAACCCAGTGTCCTCATGCAAGCACCTAGGTCACGGTAACCCACGTAGCCGTCTCTGTCCCTGTCGAACTCCTGGAAGGCAACCTGCAGTTCTGCAGGGGGGTGAGGTCAGTCCCTGGGTCTCTGGCTCTAAGACACTGCCCCCTACACCCTGAGCCCCAGCAGCAGCGAATGGCCACTCACCATCCAGCTCCTCAGGGCCCAGCTCACGGTCCTGCAGACAGACAGCCATTGTATCCAGATCAGCCACAGCTCCATGGCCACCCAGTCTTCCCCTTTAGCCATGCTCAGCCCCTGTCCCTGATGGCCTCAGAAAAGCTCTGAGCTGGGCCAACTCACAATACAGAAAGGAAGTGGGAACTTGGATGCTGGTGAAGCCCATTCCTGCTCCCATAGAACCCACTGCCGTTGGGTTGATTCCTACTTCTGGTAACCTGCCCCAGAGAGTTTCTAAGCCAACAAATCTTTAGGGAAGCAGCCTGTCACGTTTTTTTCTCCCTCGGAGTGACTGGTGGGTCAGAACTGCTTAGCAAGCAAGTACTTAACCACACACCAGGGCTTCCCGCCTGAAACCTACCCCTCCCCAAAGTGCAGAAACCCTGCCCATAGAATCCAGGCTCCCCCATTCTGGGCAGACCTGAGGACTGGGGGCAATGAGTCCCACCCTTGGCCAGGTCCAGCCCCACTGTGGCCCCACCTGACCTTCCCGAATACCCGATTGAGCAGGGGTCCGTAAGTCCTCTGAGCAGCTTCATGCTGGGGGTCAGGACGATGCCGGTGGGACTGGTGGTGAGGAGCAGGCAGCCAGGGGGCTGCAGAGTGTAACCCTTCCTGATCCTCCCTGGTTCTAGGGGATGTCTTGCTACTACCCAGGCCCTCATGTCCCTGAACAAGGGTCTGCTCACCAGCTCCACCCTTGCCCTTCTGGGACTCCCGGTGTCCCCTCTCCTTTTTGCTCCTCTTCCTGGTCAAGGCTGGCCCCTTGGCAACACCCCCAGGAGCCACCACCCCTGCAGAGGGCTCCTGGGGGTCAGGACAGTCCCCTGCTTGCCCCGTGGCCATGTGGGGAGGGCAGCTAGGTTCTGAGGTTTGGCACAAAGGGCACTCTTGGCTCTAGGGACCCACAAAGCCGATTATGTCCACCCCCAGCCCCACTGAGCACCAAGAACCTGGGCTCAGCCCTGAGGGGGATTATGGTAAGTGAGGCCAGCAGCCCAGGACTTAATCTCTGCCCTCTGCTGAGGATGGCCCGAGTAGAGCCAGGTGGGTCCAGGGGACTGTCTGCGTTTAGCAGCCTTGAACTCCAGCACAGCCACTTAGTAGCTGGGGGATACATTGCCCTAACCTCTCCAAGCCTCAGGTGCCTCATCTGTAAAATGGGGAGAATACTGCTGAAGAGTGGGGCCCACTCATGAGCAATTAGACAGGACTTTACCAAGAGAAGGTGTCCTGGTAGGGCATGGGGTTACTTGTTGGGCTGCTAACCACAAGGTGCAGGACCCTGATGGCCCAGGTAACAGCAAGACTCTCATAGGACTGGGGAGGGGCTAGACCTTGCAGTGCCCAGTTCAGCTCCTCAACACCACTCTCACCAGCGTCATCCAGACCCCCAGAATGAAGCTGTCCGCTCCTGAAAGGTTTACAGTCTCAGACACCCGTGGGAGCAGTTCCATTCTTCTGTTTTCCAAGGTCACTGGCAGCTGGAATCCATTCAATGGCAGTGGATATGGTTTTGGTTTTGTCACCAAGAGGAGAGGATGGCATCTCGGGGACCCCTAGTAGAGTGACATGCTGGCTGGAGCAGAAAACCAAAACTAACAAGCCGGTTGCCATTGAACTGATTCCCACCCTATTTGACTCCATGGCTTTCAGAGGAGAACTGTACTCCACAGGGTTTTCAATGGCTATGAAGATCACCAAGCCTTTCTTCTGATGCACCTCCGGGTGAACTCAAACTGCCAACCTTTTGTTTAGTAGCCAAGCACTTCACCATATACGCCCCCAGGGACTGGACTGGAACAGAGAATGTGTCCAGTTGAGGAAGAGAGGCACCCTCACAGATTGAGGAACAGGGAAGGGGTGTTAGAGGAAGAGGGACCCAGCCCTGTGAGGGGTTTGGAGCACCCAGGCTGGTCACTTGGCCTTACTGGGCTGAGGTTAGAGTTTCTCGAAGAGCAGCCTCATGAATGATTGATGTCCTGTCGTCTTGGGTTTCCTACTTGCCCATCTTAGCGCAGCCAGACGCCAGGCACCAGGCACCAGGCACCAGGCCCCCGTGTGGGGCCATGAGGACGACTGGACCACTGAGCAGACAGGTCCACCCTGGGTCTTCCAGCCTGCACCTCACACGTAAGCCAGCCCTCACCATTGGGCACCTACGCTTCTGGTCCAATAGAGGCTAGAGCCTGCAGAGGGCGATCGCTGGCGGGAGGTGGTCACTGGGCTGAGGGCCAGGTAGCCAGAGCAGAGACCACAGGGCAGGACACAGCCTCTCTGGGCCATTGGCTTCCTCCCCAACTCTGTGTTAACCCAAGGCTTCTTCCTTCATCCTCAGAGGGTAGGTGGGGGCAGCAGACCTCCGGGCCCCTGGCCTGGTGCCCTCCCTGCGCCCCACTTCCTTCACCCTTATTTTGCTGCTGAGTGTCTGCCTCCTTCCCAGGGAGGGGAGTATGAGCTATAGGGAAAGGGACTCACCCTGAATCCATGCTTCTGTGTCAGGTTCCCTGTCCCCTTTAGGACACCTATGAACTCACGAGACCCCTGGCCCTTCTCTCTGGAATTGCAAACTTTGAACCTCAGTATAGCAAAGAAAAGGGGCTTTGCAGCTAGCTAGCCCACCATAGTCCAACTGTTCCCTGAAACCTTAGCAGGGGTGCTTCCCTCTTTCAATGTGAACACCCTCATTCAGTTTGGATACCAGTTCCTCTAGAATATCTCACTTCAAGACTCAACTGCTTTAAAAATGTGTGTGAATGTTTCTGGCGGAGCCCGTTGGGCACCCTGGGTCTCAGTGTGGCAGATGGTTAGGTCTGGGTTTGAGTCTTGGCATCTGCCTTCCTACCTGTGACCTTGGGCAGGACGCTCACCTCTTGACTTTCTACTCTTCTCCTGCAAAATGGATTGTTGTTAGTAAGTGATGTCAAGTCAGTGCCTAATCATAGCGATTCTGTATAGGGTTTCTGAG